AGAAGTCCCAATAGTTCTTTTTTTTAATTTTTATTTATTTATGATAGAGAGAGAGAGAGAGAGAGAGAGAGAGAGAGAGAGCAGAGACACAGGCAGAGGGAGAAGCAGGCTCCATGCACCGGGAGCCCGACGTGGGATTCGATCCCGGGTCTCCAGGATCGCGCCCTGGGCCAAAGGCAGGCGCCAAACCGCTGCGCCACCCAGGGATCCCAAGTCCCAATAGTTCATTTTTGCTTTTGTTTCCCTTGCCTTCATGGATGTATCTTGGAAGAAGTTGCTGTGGCCAAGTTCAAAAAGGGTGTTGCCTGTGTTCTCCTCTAGGATTTTGATGGATTCTTGCCTCACATTTAGATCTTTCATCCATTTTGAGTTTATCTTTCTGTATGGTGTAAGGGAATGGTCTAGTTTCATTCTTCTGCACATGGCTGTCCAATTTCCCAGCACCCTTAATTGAAGAGACTGTCCTTTTTCTAGTAGATACTCTTTCGGCTTTGTGAAATATTAGTTGACCATTGAGTTGAGGGCCCATTTCTTGATTCTCTATTCTGTCCAATGATCGATGTGTCTGTTTTTCTGCCAGTATCACACTGTCTTGATGATAACAGCTTTGTAGTACAACTTGAAATCCAGCATTGTGATGCCCCTGGCTCTGGTTTTCTTTTCAATAATCCTTTGGCTATTCAGAGTCTTTTCTGAATCCACAGAAGTCTTAAGATGATTTGTTCAAACTCTGAGGATGTCCATGGTATTTTGATAGGGATTGCATGAAATGTGTAAATTGCCCTGGGAAGCATTGACATTTTCACAATATTAATTCTTCCAATCCATGAGCATGGAATATTTTTCCATCTCTTCGTGTCTTCCATAATTTCTTTCAGAAGTGTTCTATAGTTTTTAGGGTATGGATCCTTTATCTCTTTGGTTAGGTTTATTCCTAGGTATCTTATGCTTTTGGGTGCAATTGTAAATGGGATTGACTCCTTAATTTCTCTTTCTTCAGTCTCATTGCTAGTGTATAGTAATGCCACTGATTTCTGGGCATTGATTTTGTATCCAGCCACACTGCCGAATAGTTGTATGAGTTCTGGCAATCTTGGAGTGGAGTCTTTTGTGTTTTCCATGTACAGTATCATGTCATCTGCGAGGAGGGAGAGTTTGACTTCTTCTTTGCCAATTTGAGTGCCATTTATTTATTTATTTATTTATTTATTTATTTATTTATTTTTTTGCCTGATTGCTGAGGCTAGGACTTCTAGTACTATGTTGAATAGCAGTGGTGAGAGTGGACATCCCTGTCTGGTTCCTGATCTTTGGGGAAAGGCTTCCAGTGTTTCTCCATTAAAATGATATTTGCTGTGGGCTTTTCATAGATGGCTTTGAAGATGCTGAGGAATGTTCCCTCTATCACTACACTCTGAAGAGTTTTGATCAGGAATGGATGCTGTATTTTGTCAAATGCTTTCACTGCATCTATTAAGGGGATCATAGGGTTCTTGTTTTTTCTCTTGCTGATATGATCTATCTCATTGATTGTTTTACCAGTGTTGAACCAGCCTTGCATCCCAGGGATAAATTCCACTTGGTCATGGTGAATAATCTTAATGTACTGTTTCATCCTATTGGCTAGTATCTTGTTGGGAATTTTTGCATCTGTGTTAATGAGAGATACTGGTCTATAATTCTCTTTTTTGGTCGGGTCTTTGTCTGGTTTTGGATTTAAGGTGATGTTGCCCTCATAGAACTAGTTTGAAAGTACTCTGTCTCTTTATATCTTTCGGAACAGCTTTAGTAGAATAGGTATGGTTTCTTCTTTAAACGTTTGATAGAATTCCCCTGGGAAGCCATCTGGCCCTGGACTTTTGTGTCTTGCGAGGTTTTTGGAGACTGCTTCAATTTCCTCTCTGGTTATTGGCCTGTTCAGGTTTTCTATTTCTTCCTCTTCCAGTTTGGAAGTTTGTGGTTTTCCAGAAATGCGTCCATTTCTTCTAGATTACCTAATATATTGGCGTATAACTCCTCATAATATTTTTAAAAAATCGTTTGTATTTCCTTAGTACTGGTTGTGGTCTCTCCTTTTTCATTCGTGATTTTATTAATTTGAGTCTTTTCTCTTTTGTTTTTAATAAGGGTGGCTAATGGTTTATGTATCTTTTTTTAAATTTTAATTTTTATTTATTTACGATAGTCAGAGAGAGAGAGAGAGAGAGAGGCGCAGAGACATAGGCAGAGGGAGAAGCAGGCTCCATGCCCTGGGAGCCCGATGTGGGATTCGATCCTGGGTCTCCAGGATCGCGCCCTGGGCCAAAGGCAGGCGCCAAACCACTGCGCCACCCAGGGATCCCTGGTTTATGTATCTTATTAATTCTTTCAAAGAGCCAACTTCTGTTTTGTTTTGTTTTTTTTTAATCTTTTCTACAGTTCTTCTAGTCTCTATTTCATTGAGTTCTGCTCAAATCTTTTTTAACTTTCTTATTCTACTTGGTGTAAGTTTTATTTGCTGTTCTTTCACCAGTTTCTTTAGGTGTGAGGATAGCTTGTGTATTTGAGTTTTTTCCAGTTTTGGGATGGATGCTTGTATTGGGATGTATTTCCCTCTCAGGACTGCTTTTGCTGTATCCCAAAGATTTTGAACAGTTGTATCTTCATTCTCATTAGTTTCCATGAATATTTTTATTTATTCTCTAATTTCCTGGTTGACCCTTTCATCTTTTAGCAGGATGCTCTTTAACCTCCACGTATTTCAGTTTCTTTCAAATTTATTTTCGTGATTTAGTTCTAGTTTCAAAGCATTGCGGTCTGAAAATGTGCAGGGAGCAGTCCGAATCTTTTGGTATCAGCTGAGATCTGATTTGTGACACAGTATGTGGTCTATTCTGATTAAAATTCCATGTGCACTTGAGAAGAATGTGTATTCAGTTGTGTTTGGATGTAAAGTTCTGTAAAGATCTGTGAAATCCATCTAGCCCAGTGTATCATTTTAAGCTCTTGTTTCTTTGGAGATGTTGTGCTTAGAATATCTGTCATTTGCGGAAAGTGCCCTGTTGAAATCTCCCAGTATTAGTGGATTATTATCTAAGTATGTCTCAACTTTTGTTATTATTGATCAATATACTTGTCAGCTCCCAGAGCAGGGGCATAAATATTCATGATTGTTAGGTCCTCTTGTTGGATAGATCCTTTAAGTATGATATAGTGTCCCTCTTCATCTCTTAATACAGTCTTGGGATAAACTTTAATTTATCTGATATGAGGATTGGTTCCTCTGCTTTCTTTGGAAGAGCATTTGAATGGTAAATGGTTCTCCAACCTTTCATTTCAGGCTGTAAGTGTCCTTAGGTTTCAACTGAGTCTTGTAGACAGCAAATAGATGGGTCTTGTTTTTTATCCAGTCTCAAACCCTGCATTTTTTAATGGGATCATTTAGCCCATTCACGTTCGGAGTTACTATTGAAAGATATGAATTTAGTGTCATTATAATACCTACTCAATCCCTGTTTTTGTATATTGTTTATTTGGGCATCCTCTTTCTTCTGCAGAGTCCCCTTTAATGTTTCTTGCAGAGCTGGTTTGGTGGTCACATTCTTTCAGGTTCTGCCTTTCTTGGAAGCTCTTTATCTCTCCTTCTATTCTGATTGAGAGCCTCGCTGGATAAAGTATTATTGGCTGCATGTTCTTCTCCTTTAGTACCCTGAATATATCCTGCTAGCCCTTTCTGGCCTGCCAGGTCTCTGTGGAGAGGTCTACTGTTAATCTAATACTTCTCCCCATATAAGTTAGGGATCTCTTATCTCTTGCTGCTTTAAGGATTTTCTCTTGATCTTTGGAATTTCAAGTTTCACTATTAAATGTCGAGGTGTTGAATAGTTTTTATTAATTTTAGGGGGTACATCTGTATCTTCTGGATCTGAATATGCCTGTTTCCCTCCCCAAGTTAGGGAATTTCTCATCTATGATTTGTTCAAATATGCTTTCTCACCCTCTGTCCATCTCGGCACCTTCTGAACCTCAATTAAACGCAGATTTTGGGGATCCCTGGGTGGCTCAGCGGTTTAGTGCCTGCCTTTGGCCCAGGGCGCAATCCTGGAGTCCCGGGATCGAGTCCCACATAGGGCTCCCAGCACGGATCCTGCTTCTCCCTCTGCCTGTGTCTCTGCCTCTCTCTCTGTATGTCTATCATGAATAAGTAAATAAAATCTTTATTTAAAAAATGTAGATTTTTCCTTCTGAGGCTGCCATTTATTTCCCTTAGCCTTTCCTCATGGTCTTTTATTTTATTTATTTTTTTTACAAACAAAAGAGAGTTTATTTACAAAACTTACAATAATTACAGATAGTACAAATTGAGACAATTTCCCCCGTTAGTGTGACCAAAGCTACCAGCCTTCACTTTAAAATGAGGGTTTTGTTACTCTGAGATACGAAAGACATTCAGTGATCCACTGCCCTTATTTAAAATGCTTTTCTAATTCCAGGGGCTGATTAGTGTATGTACAGCGGTCACTTCCCTCAACGTGTATTTCCAGACCTACTATGTACAAGTCCAACATAACTGGAATATAACGGCATAGAACAGCACTGAGTAATTTTTTTCCCAACAATAAATTTTGATTATTCTTTAAATATTCATTTAGTGGTTTAGAACTGAAACCATGATTTTTGGCTTTTAAAAGAAAAGTCCAGTGATTCTTGATGGGCCGTACCATTCCGCTATAGCCAGTATTACCCGGCTATTTTTTACAGGTTTACAATAGTTTTAGAAACAGAATTCCACAGCATTCAATTCTGTTTTGTTTGGTTTTTAGAGAGGGAGAGAGGCAGGGGGAATCTTCAGAGAATCTTCAGCAGACTCCATGCCCAGCACAGAGCCAGATACGGGGCTCAACCTCACAACCCTGAGATCACGACCTGAGCCAAAATCAAGAGTCTGACGCTCAGCCAAGCCACCCAAGTTCTCCCCATGGTATTCAATTCTGTATGAATTGTGTCTTTTATGTTTTTAATCAGTCACTGCTACTGCTCGAGGAGTCTGTTGACATAACTTCTACATCATCTTCATTTTCTTTATTATGCCCCGGAGGTTCCAACAAGAAGTCATTATTGTGATTTGGTGGTAACATATTCATGGACATGTCATTTGACTGCCATGGGTACTGCGGAGCAAGGACATCTGGAACCCAGGTGAGTGGAGCACACACAGCATTACTTGCACTTATTCTATGTGCATACTTAATTATTTCTTCAGAGGAGATGGCACCTTTTCTTGCTTTTTCTATTGATTTGAGTTTTTCTTTTGCTTGGTAAACAGCTGTTGCCAGTATTTGCTCTGCTTCCTTTAGCTGTTTCTGTAGTTGCTGAATATCACTGTCCCTCTTCTTCCTCATGGTCTTTTAATTGTTTTTCTCTTTTTTCCTCAACTTCCTTCCTTGCCATCAAGTTGTTTTCTCTGTCACTCAGTCTTTCTTCTACCACATTAGCCTTCATTGTTAGGACCTCAAGTTTGGATGGCATCTCATTCAATTGATTTTTAATTTCGGCCTGATTAGATCTAAATTCTTCAGTCATGAAGTCTCTTGAATCCTGTATGCTTATTTCCAGAGCAACCAGTAGCTTTATAATTGTGCTTCCGAATTGGTTTTCTAACATTGAATTTTAATCCAAATTCTGTAATTCTGTGGCAGATAGTACTGTTTCTGATTCTTTCTTTTGTGGTGAGTTCTTTCTAGACATTTTGCTCAGTGCAGAGTGGCTATATGAGCACGCTGTGTCAAGAATATTAATCACGACCTAATTAAATTTCACCCTAGATGAATTTGCTGAGGTCAGAGACCAAAAATTGAAAACAAAGATCAGAATGAAATAAAACAAAAGGACCAATAAAGTGAAAAAGAAATCTTAAAACAAAGTAGTAAAAAAATAAAAGGCCAGGAATCCTAAAGAAGAAGAGAAAAAATAATTTAAACAAATGAAAATCAAAAGAAAAAAGAAAAGAGAAGGTGGGGACTGGGAGATGGTGGTGGTGAAGAAGTTGTCGTATAGGGAGAATGTAATCTACCTGAGGGGCTCTAGAGGGTGATCCTCTTGGTTCTGAGTATATTAAGTTCTGTATATTAGAAGATGCTCAGTTCCAAATGTATATAAACCAGAAATATTTATAGAGGGCCCCAACATTGACCACCAAAACATAAATGAGATTAAAAAGGGGGGGGCAGAATGGGAATGAGGAATCTCACAGAATGAACCAGCATGGTCTACCCCTTGGTTTTGGGTGCCTGCTGGTCATGTTTTATTTTTTTTATTTTTATTTTTTTTATATTTAGGTTTTATTTTTTTTTATTTTTATTTATTTATTTATTTATTTATTTATTTATTTATTTATTTATTTATGATAGTCACACACAGAGAGAGAGAGGCAGAGACACAGGCAGAGGGAGAAGCAGGCTCCATGCACCAGGAACCCGATGTGGGATTCGATCCTGGGTCTCCAGGATCGCGCCCTGGGTCAAAGGCAGTCGCCAAACCGGCTGCGCCACCCAGGGATCCCTGGTCATGTTTTAGAAGGTATTAACTTCTGCCATTGTAGAATAAAATGAGGCAGAGGAAACAAAAAACACAAAACAACAACAACAACACAATATCTTGTATATCTCCCAAAATTAAGTTGAGTGTGTTGAAGCCAATCTAGAAGTGGAAAATATATCTAGGACCTGTAATTGTAGAAATATGAGAGTCAAAAAAGAAGAATCTTGAAAATGAAGAGGTAGTAAAATATTATAGTTAAGGTGAGAAAAGAGAGAAAAAACTGGAAAATTACAGTCTGATATAAAAACAAGTTGTACTGGAAAAGGAAGAAAAGCAAAAAGAAGAAGAAGAAGAAGGGTAGCCTCTGGTTCTATATACTGTAAATCCATCGACTTCCCCTGGAGCTTTCCAGTGCTGCTCAGTCAAGAACTTATTCTTCCCCTCTCCTTCCACCTGGTCTTCTGGGAGAGGGGTCTGCTGTGCTGATTCTCAGGTGCGTGTACCTGGGGGAGCTGCTCCACCCCCTGCCAGGTGCACGGCTCAGTAGGAGCTGTTTATCCTGTTTTGCCTTGTTCCCTGGTGGCCCTGCTCCATCCTAGGCACAGGGTGACACAAGGAGGAACAACAACACTGGCAGCAGCCAGCTCTCCAGCTCTGGAGTCAGCTCCCACCATGACTACCACAGTCTCCCAGTCTGCACTGGCCTAGATGCTTCTGCCCTGGTGGAGGTTCGCTGATCTGCACAGCTTGGGGGTGCCTGGTAGCAGGAGAGTTCTCACTGGCCTGTGCCCTCCTGCCTCTGCTTGTCCGGGGGGGAATGAAGGATCCTGGGCTTTGTCTGCTGGGTGCTCTGGGATCTGGGGCCTGTGGGGCTGGAATCAGGCTCCCAGGACCGCTGTTCCCAAAGGCAGCAGGGTGCAGCCCCCTCCATTCAGAGCCACTGCCTGAGCTTCTCTTGAAGCCCCATTAGGGGCGCGCTCCAGCCCTTTACCGAGATTGGCCCACAGTCTGTGGTATGCTCTCCCCTGGGGCACACTTCCTCTAACTGGAGGCTCCACTGCCCCTCCTGCGATTCTGCCCAAGTTCCCTGCTAAGCAACTTTCTGTCCGGGAAGAATACAGTGTGGATTTTTAAAATTCCTGCTTCTCTGGGACTGGGCTTTCCTGTCCCAGGAGGCTTTGCCACCCAGCCTTAGCCCAGCTCCTTGTGGGGCCTCTCCCTCACTTGATTCTTTTTTTATTTTTTTCCACCTCCCTCCTTGTTAAAAGCGAAAACCCTTCTCTCTGCAGCATTCCAGCTGTTCACTCTTTAAATATCAGGTCGAATTCGTAGGTTTTCAGGATGATTTGAAATTTATCTAGGTGAGTTGGTGGGGACAGGTGACTTGGGGACCCTACTCCTCCACCATCTTGCCCATCAGTTTTGTTTCTTAAATTCTATATATGAATGAAAGGATATGATATTTCTCTTTCCCTGCTAGCATTTTTTTAAGAAGAAAAAAAATTTGTGTTTGTTCTGCTTACTCTAGTCCCCAGTCAGCATCTCTCCTACCACCAAAAGATAACAAAACAAAACAAAAACTTGTCTTTTCCTGAGGAGAGCTGTGTGTAATTAAAGTTTGGCAAAGGTAGTATAGGTGTCAAAAAGGATCCGCTAAACTTAACGTTACTGTGAATTGAAGTTGATTGTATACGATTTTTGGCAGAAGGATACTTTTGTTTTTAACTCCAATACTACAAGTAGATGATATGGAGATGACAGATCCTCAAGAAGATTCCCATAACTAAAGAGGCCACAAAGCACTCCATCACAGAGACAATAAATAATTGAGGCACATCTTTAGTTAAGACTAAGAAAACCTAAAGGGGCCAGCTTGGTATCCTCTCACTTCCCCATTACCAGTATTTGTTCCTCCCTCTCTCCTTTTCCCCATCCAAATTCCTATGTTATTTGATGTTCCTATCAATTTAGCTAAAAAGTTAATGGTAGCAGATCAATGCATTAACACTTCAGTAAAAAAATTGCTTTTAAATAGCTTATGTCTTAAGAGTGGTAGGCTCTTGGGTGGCCTAAATACGGATTAATTATTTAAGTTCAACACCTTCTCAAAGACCATTCCTATCGTATCTACTCACAAATCCAGTTTATTTTGTCTAAGGAAATATATTATGGAAAATAAAAATGTACGAAGAAAGGCATTATGGAAAAATACTTTACAGTTTTCTTGATTTCAGACATTTTATAATGTTTCATAATTTCTGTTTAGATCCTAAGATAACATGTTCCTTACAAAAGCAAACACACATTTGGGTTATTTTAAAACAGGCTTAATACAGGTTTAGTGAATTTACAAAAGATTTCCATTAGAGTTCTTCTAGCATAAGAAGATTGATTTATTAGAAATTTTAAATTGGTGGGAGAGGAGTTAAGATGGTAAAGGAAAAAGGGGGCCTTAATTTTTCCTGGCCCCTCAAATAACAACAAGATACTTTTCAATTAATTCTGAGTACCTGAGAAATTAATCAGGGATCTGATAAAAGCTGCAAGTCTACAAGTAGAAAAGCTACCACTGTTTGGAAGGTAGTAGGTGCATAGACTTAAATCCAGTGTAATATAACAGGGTACAGCAGAAGAGGGGGGGTATGCTTAAGGAGGCTACTGCAAAGTTTTATAAGCAGAGGAGTACAAAATTGGAACTTTTAGAAGTCTGTTACAGTGGGGGATGTGCCTGGCTTTGAGGAGCTCAGGTGCTGAAGCCAGACAGGATCCCAGGTGTGACCGCATGGTCTCAGATCCCCCATGTCACAAGAAAAATGGGTGGTGCCTAAGTGTGGCAGAGTTTGCAGGCATAGGAATAGGGAAGCCAGTGAGAAATGATGAGCCTATCTGTCGGCTTTCCATTCTACATTGCCATAAATTTTGAACTGCTGCATGGTCATGCAACCACTTTCTAGGGAGGGGTAAGGCAAAAAGCAGAAGTGTGGCAAGATCCCTGCTCTCCTGGGAGGAACAGTGCAGGTCCAGGCCACAGGAGTCTGCAAAATTTGGAGTTTTGGAACTCAGTTGCATGCCTGAGATAAAAACGCTCCATTACAGGCTGGGTGAACACAGAGTTTGGATGGAATTAAAGGAGAAAAGAGTGATTTACTTCTTTTCTATGAGGCCTCACTGAAGAGTGGGGGCTTTGGATTTTCAGCTCAGCCCTTGAGAGCATATTAATTCCACCCATCAGTGCTGAAAGCCTTCAGGGAGCAAAACAGCACCACATAGTAGAATTTGGAGCCTCTTACACTGAGCCCTGCCTTTGTATACTGGAGGCACATTTTGCACTAGAGCAAGTACACCTGAGAATCAGTGCAACAGGCCCCTCCCCCAGAACAGCACAAATAATTTGCTCACAACTGATCATAGAAGGCTGCAAAGCTTCAGTTCTTGGGGAAAAAAGCATATAGCATTCTTTGTGTTTTTATTCTTTAGTCATTTAGTAATTTTGCAGGTATTTTCTTATTTTTTCAATTCTATTTTTATTCTTTTTTAATTTTATGTATGTTATATATTTAGTTTCAATTTATTATATACTTATATAATAATTATACTTTGTATATTTATATTATTATAATGAATAATATAATTATATAATAAATTGAAACAAAAGAAATATATGAATATATTATGGATATTTATTTATTTATGTATTTATTATTTTGGTATCTAGGTTCTATTAACAAGCAAACCAAAACACACTCAGTATCTAGTTATTTTTTAAAATTTCTATTGTTGTTGTTATTGTTATTTTTTCTCTTTCTTCTTTTTTAAAGATTTATTTATTTATTCATGAGAGACACACACAGAGAGGAAGAGA